TGCCGCGTTCACCCACAAATATACAGTCAATTCACTTTACAGTGTGTTCTGTGAAGCGCTGTGGGACGTCCTCTTGACGTGAAAAGCGCTATATCAAATGCAATTATTTATTGATTATTATTATTATGCATTGATCCTTACAACTGGGGGTAGTGTAAGTGGTGATTTTTTCTGACAGTAAGTGATGTACAGCATCAACTTCGCTTACCATTACAATTACAATAACACACCGTAAAAGGCCCAAAAAGGCCCATCACTTATAGGCACTGGAGACAAAAACATCAATGGACAAATTTCCATTTGCAAATGTGATTACAGAGCCCATTTCAGATATTAATTTCCTTCAGTTTTCTTAAAACCAGAACATGTTAAACTTAATTTTCTCGCCTTTTTGGTGGGGGGGGAGGGGTTGAGTGGGGGGGGGAAAGAGTTCTTCTGAACAGGCTCCCAGGTCACTTCCAGGTCTGCTCTATAACAAGTCTCAATAAAATCCATGCAAACAACTTGAGTGAGAACACAAAAAAACGAGAATACCTTTCACCCCATCAAGCCTATGCCCTCAATAAACCACAAAAAACCTACCCTACCAAGAACATCAACCATCTTATCTGTTTGAGGAGTTACTGGATAAATGCTCCGTGAACCCCAAATGCATTTAAGCAAATATTTTAAATTAACAACAACTTGCGTCCCAGAGGGCTTGACAGTGGTGGATCTATCCCCATATTTGCACCAATCATGATTGTTTTCCTGCAAAGATAAAATTCCCTTCTCTCCACCAGTCCAGAAATAACCATATTCCATGGAATACTTCAGACTGTGCCATTCCTCATACCTTTAAGCACACTTGGAATGATAAATGTTACATTTTCTTCACCCTGAACATGTATTTAAACTTGTCTTCTGTTTCTTGCAAGTTAGTAATAAATGAATGCTATTTAAACCCAATTCCCTTTGATGAGGAGCTGCATCACATTAGGGTGTAACAATGTGTAATCTTTAATGTGGATTTGATTAACTGCTCAACGATGAAGGATTTTAAGCATCATAAAAGAGAAGAATATTTCAGGGGGGGAAAATGACTGAACATTAATCACCTGGCCATTCGGCAGGTGACATCCGAAGTGTACCATCCTTCATCAGATGAAAAAATCAAATTATTTCCGGCAAAAGCAGAGAAAAAATACTTGCAAATAATATTTGCATCTCAAGAAAATCTGCAATTTCATTCTTCATTACAATTAAGAATCAACAGCCTGCTATAATCATCCAGCTGCAGAACAGCTCCAGTTCTTGATAATATCACTGGGCTTATTCCATGGGAGATGCAGAATTGTTTACTTGTTTATGAAAGGCTCTTTGTTCAAAGTCAAAGACAAGCAGTTTCATTATGTGGCAATTTTATTCACTATAGGACTAGGATAGATTCAAAGTGAATCATTAAGAATGTATTTTCAAAATTTCAACAATGCAAACATCTTTTATTTAAGAAAAAATACTGTATTTTGCTCCGTACAATAAGATTATTGTTTGATCTCTTCTGAAGATATTTGGTAGCCAATATTGTTCATTGTACAGCTTGCCCCCAAGTCAATGCAGTGCAATGAGCTCATCCTGAAAAGACAAAATAGGACAATTGGGGACAGCTTGGAGGAAGATGTCCCCCAGTGGAGATCCAGGCAAGGAGAGATCAGCCAGAGCTCTGGAGAAATAATTGCTTTATTCAAACACTCCTCTTGTGCTGGCTACTGCTGCTTATTTCAAGAAAATCCAGGGATAGGGTCAGGGGAGGAAGTTATAACAAATTATCATTACAACTTCACTTCTCCTTACAGCTCTGCTGAACATTTTTCTCTCTTTCCATTAGTAAGAGCCATAAAGTCTCACCTTTTTTCAAGTTCAAAACAGACATAGAGCAAGATAGAAATGGTCACGGTGAGCGGTCAAGGTTTGAATTCTGATGTTTGCATTGCTGATGTTTGAAAATCACGGAAAACTTGAATTACTATCCTGTACATCATAATCCAGAGCAGTGTGTGTGAAATGAATAAACTTTTACTTTAAAGTTAGACTTTTGTGCAGCGATTCTCTGATCATTGGTAAAGTTATTGATCTTGGTAATTTGATCATATAAATTAAATCTCAATGTAACCTTACAGTCACAAGACCAGTAAATAAATCAAAAAGCATAGAATCTTTCCAATTGCATTTTACTAATATCTGTACATCCCAGCTAAAGATTGAGCTGTCCACTGCTCACATAATTATCAGCTCACATAATCACTCCTTAGCTTATCAGCTGGTATCGATAACAGCTAATAAACTCCAGGCTTGGAATAAGAGTGCACAAACAGAAGAAAGCGTGGATAAGAAAGGCCAATTAACCGATCATACTCATTCCTTTCACATAAAACCTAGTCTTTGTGAACATTACTGTATCCATCAATTCCTTCCTGTTTTGAGATCAAGAAACATTTTACGTTTTCTGATGCTTTGTTGACATTAAAAGTGGAAACATTCTGAATCTCAAATCGATTGGCAACATTTTGTTTCTTATCTACTGAACCGTTTCACTGCATGAAGTGAGTGAGGCATATGGTTTGGAGAAAATTACAATAGCAACAGTGTAATGTAGCAGGAGCTGCACAAATGTGGCAATATTGAACGTTTAAAGTGTACATTAAAAGGAATTTCAGTATCCCTCCATTAGAGTTATAATAAGGGATTCATTAGCTGATCTAAATTTCTATTTAAAAAAGCTCTGCTGTTATACCATTTAGCATGGGGTTCAGTTTTACATCTTCGTGTTAAGTAGAGCTATCATTTGGCCTCTCTTTTCCAGTAGCTCTGAAATTGTGCACATCCTGATAGAGAGGTCGCTCCAAATATCTTCAAATAACTAGGGCGATCCGTGCTGCAAGAGTAACACAAGCAAATGGCAGCAGTACAGCTGGGAAATAAAAGAGAATAACCTCATTAGTAGTTCAAACAAGGGCACACTTTTCATTTTCAGAATGATGCATGAAGAATGCAATATAAAATGATCACACTAAAATACAGCATTAGCTTCAGCCATTCACCGGTAGTGGCATTTCAAGGTATGTTTGTTCTTTGCTCTGCTCTGGAATGGTCTCATTTCCACTACATGCAGCTGAAATACCCCAGTTCATTCAATTTGTCTTCCATCTTGTGTGTGTGCTTTACACCATGACAATGATCAGGAAGATGGTATAACAATGTTTGGGTGGGTAAGGCAACTTTCAACAATTTACATTCAGTTATAACATCAAAAGGCATTAACCATAACATAAATTTCAACCCCTGTTTGATTTTCTCCTATTTAAAACAAAGCATGCAGGGGCAATTGTAACACTCCAAGCTGCTGCCTAGTTGATGTCAGCTAATTCAGCACAGACCTGGGACTAATTTAGAACCTTCTCATTAGTATGGCTTAGTGCTATAGGATACGCAACCTATTTGCGAGGTCCTACGACAAATGGTAGAAGGCTCAGGCTTCCCATAACAAACTCAGCTCCTCTGTTTCCCATTCTGTCTATATGGATTCCTGTAGTTTGATAATTAGAGCACTTGCCTTGCAAGCAAGAGGACCTGGGTTTGATTCCTGGGCAGGGCGAAACGTTGGGCAAGTTTCCTTTCTCCACACGCCTCTGTTTATGTAGTAGTAAACCAGTTGTTAGTCGATTGGTGGATCGCTTTTCCGAGGGTAATAATCCCTTTTAAAAAAAATTTGGTCACTCAATCTACAACTGTTTGTGGGACACTGCTGTATGCAATTGGCGGCCGCATTACGCCCACAAAAAATATAGTCAATTCACTTTACAGTATATTCCGTGAAATACTTTGAGACGTCTTGAAGATGTGATAAGGCGCTATATCAAATGAAAGGATTATTATTATCTTTTATAGCCTCTTTGTCATTTATTGGAAAAAGAGGGGGTGAATTAGAAGGAATTGCACCAAACTTAAGTTGAATCTGTGCTGGACCAGACTGAAGCTTGGTGGGAATCTTTTATTCTACAATTTTTGTGGGTACAATAAGTGAACTATGTTGCAGTGATGAAATGGGTTGACAGTCTAATGAATAAAGGTATTTTCTTTTGCACCAAAAGTAAAACTGATGTATTGAAGTGAACAACTTGCACTCATAACACCTTTCACGTAAAATGAATGGTTTTACAGTGACAATGGAGATCATGAGCAAGGAGAAAAGAAGGGGAGTGCTGATACAATACAATACAAAATTGCACTTGTTTTGCACCTTTCACGTTGGGAGGATGTCCCAAGGCACTGGACAGTCAAGGATTTGGACCTGAGCAGGGAGTTGGGATTGGAGAGGGTGGAGGGCAAGGAGGGTAGGAAGGGCGGCCGAAGGCTCGGTCAAACAGGAGGTCAAAGGCATGGACAAAAAGATAACTTATTAAATGAATTTTGAAGGTGGGGAGAGAGTTCTAAAATGGTTGAAATCTTGATGGTGAGAAATCTGATCCAGCAATAGATTACTAAATTAAGGATTATTGATTATTGTTATTAGATTTTATTAGAGTGGAATTGCTGCAGGTCATTCTGAAGTCTTTTGGACTCGGAATTCATTATTTATTAAAACTCTGAAACACCGAAATGCTGCAATTGGAACTTATTTTCACTAATTGGAATGGAAAACATGGTGGTAAGATTGTATCATACATAAAAAGTAACATGAAATGTAGATATCCTGGGTAGCTCAGCCAGTGGAGTACTATGTTGGGATGTTCTGCATGTTCTGAGTTTCAAATCTTGGTGGGTTCATTCAGCCGTACAACCTTTAGGTTGAGAAAATGAGTACCAGGTCTAATAGATATTCTCCTAAAAGTGGTCTCCCTGATTGAACTGGCTTTTAGTAGATCAGGGCAACAATAATTCAAGGAATTGATTGCAAATTGTGAATTATGCTATAACTTTCCCAATAGGAATAACAGTCACTCCCCCCAACCTCCAACATCTCATACTTCTTCTTCAAAATCTTGTCCATACTCACCAATATAAATGTTGTTCCTGCTTGGGGAATTGATGTTGAAGTTATTGTTTAAAAATCCTGACAATGCCACTATGACAACTGGATAGACTGTAAGTGTATAGTGCACATACTTGTCCAGCACAAAATTCTCCAAACAGAATCTGGGGACAAAAATAAATCCTGTCATTGTTACTCATGATTTCATTTGTGCTTGTACGCTATAATATACTAGTAAGGTCCCATTAAAAGTGAAATCAGTAATTGAACAGACCAGCTAAACCTTCAGAAACACTTTGGGCTTATTTAATGATCATCACTAAAAATTGTGCTATGAGCTGTGTTTCCATTTTAAAGTCAGAATGAAAGATTGCTATTTTTAGCAATCAACATAAAATACACCCCACTGTTTCTACAAACCATCAAATAAAGGCCACCTGCCTCGTGTCATTTAACATCAAAAAGAGTTAACTGGAAACTGAATTAAGGATATCATCATTTTACAGTGAGATGTATAATTAACAAAGCCAATTAACTAGGCTTCATTTCAAATAACAGAGCTTTGAAGCTCTCTTTCATTTTGTAAATATAGATTCAATTCAATACCAGCTAGGAGATGAAGCCTATTTTCCAAGTTTGTTGTGATATTTGAACTCCTATAAAGGAACATTTTATTAATTATATGCAAATGTCTTCTTCCTGAAAGACTGAAGATATTAAATAAATTGTCAAATATCTATAGCGTGTGAGTTGTACAATGTCTATCGGAATGAATTGGTTCCATGAATCCATTTTCTAATGTCATTGGTAAGTTATGATGATGGTATTAACATAATTTCATTACCCTTATTCTAAGTTAAGCATAATAATAATAATAATAATAATAATAATAATCCTTGCATTTGATATAGCGCTTTTCACGTCGGGAGGACGTCCCAAAGCACTTCACAGAACACACTGTAAAGTGAATTGACTGTATATTTGTGGGCGAACGCGGCAGCCAATTGCGCACAGCAATGTCCCACAAACAGTCGTAGATTGAAAATGACCAATTTATTATTGTTTTTTTTTTGAGGGATTATTATTAGGCGTGTGGAGAAAGGAAACTTGCCCAAGGTTTCGCCCTGCCTGGAATTGAACTCAGGTCTCTCGCTTGCAAAGCGAGTGCTCTAACCACTGAGCTACAGGACTCCACAAGTATCCATAAGTATTGATGGCAAAGGCACGTCAACATTTAATGCAGCAGATCACTCAAAATATTTCACTCTATTTATAACTAGATGTATAAGTATAAATTTCTATTATTAACAAGTATGGTGCTAGTTTTAAAACACAGGACCAGTACATACCACAAAACCACTTGAAAAGCAAGGATGGACAAGGCGACTGTGCCAGATGTGTAAATATCAACATTGGCACTATACGTCAGTTCAATTGCAAAGTTAAGTAATGTTGCTATGGTTGGCCATGTTGCATAAACTACAATTCCATTCTGTACCTGTAATAAACACAAAACCTCACAGCAATAATGTTTTTTTCTATAACATTAAAACCAAATTTTACACAATATTTCTTTTTAATTCAGATTATAAATATTATCTCCATAAAATTCATAAATTTGTTAATGATTGAAGATCACCTATTCAATTCTTTAATAATTCCACTTTAACATGGCAAATACTTCTTAACTTTTAAGGTTCGATAGTTTGAGAGGTCTACTGATGAGGAGGCCAGCGAGTTTTTCACTGTCTTACCAAGTCTTATTTATATGTAGCTGAAAACAAAAGCCACCAGCCCAGAATATAAAGAGCATTTTCAAAGAAATGTCAACAAGGGATGAAGCCACCGTGCTCAGTTTGGCTTCATGGAATTTTCACTGAAGTAAGACAGCATAATGCGTGTTAGGTAAAGAAGCAGACTAATATCACAACATGAAGCTTATTTTTAGGGTAACCAGTGTTTTCTGTTTTGAAACAAGCCATACTCATTGCAGTATAAATTAATCAGGATTTCTTAAAGGATTTCCTGGTTTAGAAGTCATGTCAAATCTGAGAGAGTTACTTATCCCTCCCTAATTATCACATCACCAGAATACCAAAGGTGATTTCAACTGGATAAAATGTACATATTGTATTAAAAGCTCACCAAGATGACATAAATGTCTTGAAATCCCACTTTAAAACCTACCTCTCCAACCACGCCTCTGGTCACTTTCCCTCCCCCTGCCCCCCACCCTTGCCATTGCTGGGCATGCATGACAGTCATTGTGAACCGAGAACTCACTACCGTATGTGAATCATCAGGGAGAGAGAGGGCGCATTCCATTCCAACAACCTATCAACCTGTGGGGTCTCAATGTGTATCTTTCCTTGGTCTGGATACTCGTAAGCATGGTGATGGGTCAGACACCTGGCTGACCCCCCCAAAATAAAAAAAATTCCTATGTGGAGGGGCATTATATAAACACAAATTATTGTTGATGTTCAGCTCCCCCATTCCAATTCAATGGGGGTATAATTAGTCCAACCTTGGTATCTAGCCAGCAGCACTTACAATGTGATTTACTGTTTTCCATTGAAATCACCACTGAAAGGTGAGCTTTGATATACAAAAGTCCACTGTTGGCATTCTGCCAGGTCTCTGCAGTCACACTCATGGGGGAATGCAGGTAGGTGCTTGTTCCAGGAAATGTGAAGAGCTGCTTAAACTTTTTAATTACAATCTAATTAAATTATAATTATAAAACAATTATAAAATCTAATTATAAAACACTTCATCATAGTTAAGTGAAATTGTACACGTGAAGTCAACACCCTACATTGCCAAAATTTTACAGTTATGCAATGGTTTAACATCCTTAATGGCTACCAATAGGGTGAGAGGAAAGTTAGAGGGAAACCTTCTAACATTCATCTTCACATATAAAGTTCATCAAAACAAATGTCAGGGCATAAATAGAGTACAGTTTTCCTGAGCCACCAATTTAAACTCACTAGTGAGTTACTAAATTTCTACAGTTCTATGAAGAGGATAAATATAAATTCCCTGTGGATAGAATACACCAATTAAACATCTTTGTGGTATAATTCCACCTGAGTCTAGATTTGTTCGACCCTGAGCTGTCCTTTCTCCCTCATATCCGTGCCACAACTGGCACAGCCTTCCATCACCTCCGGAATATCGCCAGACTACGGCACTATCTCACCCCTCACGCTGCTGAAACTCTGGTCCACGCCTTTATCACCTCAAGGCTGGACTATGGGAACTCTCTCCTCGCCGGCCTTCCCGGCACCTCTCGTGTACTGTCCCGCACCAGGCTTCGTGCCACATCACTCCCACCCTCGCTCGCCTCCACTGGCTCCCCATCCCCCAGAGGATCGAATTCAAGATCCTCACCCTCACTTACAAGGCCATTCACGGCCTTGCTCCCTCCTACCTCTCCGACCAACTATCCCCCTACCTACCTGCCTGTACCCTCCGTTCCTCTGGCTCCGGTCTGCTCCACATCCCCCGCCCCAACCGCCCTACTATCGGTGGTCGGGCCTTCAGCCTCTCAGCCCCGAGGCTCTGGAACTCCAACCCCAGTGCCTTCGCCGCCTCCTCCCTTTCCTCCTTCAAGGCTGGTCTCAAGACCTTTCTCTTTGACTGTGCCTTCAGCTCCCCTCTCGACTCTCTACCCCCTCCTCGCTCCCTCCCTTCCCTCCCCTCACCCTGACCATTTCCCCCCTGCTCGGGTCCCGACCCAACTGTCCAGCGCCTTGGGACGTCCTCCCGATGTGAAAGGCGCTCTATAAATGGAATCTTGTTGTTGTTGTTCCATTAACATAACATTTCAGAAAGTGCAGAATTTTCAGATTGTTGAATTCAGTTTTAACTCTGAAGACTTTTTTGTGCTAACTAAAAGGAACTTACAGGAAAAACAGCTTCAAAATTAAACACTGTCTTTATCAAATTCTAAATGCAGTGAATAGCGTAAATCTAGATGCGAATGGAAGTTCTCCCCACTTGTTTATTAAAAACTCTGAAGGGAGCGATTGTCAACCTTCCTTAAACACCTGCCAATATTCTGACAAGCCACAGATCGACCTTGCTATGCTTTTGTAACCAAGGTCCCTGTTTGTTCAGAGCATAATAGGAAAAGAAGAGAGCAGTGTAGTTTGTAAAAGCTATCAAGGCCAGGAAAACAAGAGCTGTGATCAAATACCTGAAATAAAGGAGAGTTTGAATAAAACAATGGAAGCAAACAATAGCTGATAAGGATGTTACACGGTGGGAGACTGAAGCCATAATAAGCTAATATTTGCTTATCCTACTAGCTACCACCACAGGCTGAGGTTGAAAAGACTTCAGGAAAGTGGTAGCCTATCGTAGTTTCCCTTCACGTGGCATTGCAGACATCAAAAGCTCTTTTCGCTGACAAGACACTAAGCACAGAGCAATATCCCACAGCCATGACATGAATGACTGATTTTATCTGGTGGCCAAGACACCGGGAGAAACTCCCTTCACTTTTAAAACTGTTGCAATGGGATTTTTGACATCCACCTGAGCAAACAAATGGGATCTTGGTTTAACGTCTTATCCAAACCATCGCACCTTCAACAAAACAACACTTCGCTGTATTGTAGTGTCAGCTTAGATAATTCAAAATCCCAATGTGGGGCTTGAACCCACAAACATCTGTCTCAGAAGCAAGAGTGCTACCAACTGAGCCAGTCTGACAGAAAAATCGGCTTAGTCCTACAAAGCAACATTCCACATGTTCACCAAACTACTCATTATAAGAGCATAAGAACATAAGAAATAGGAGCAGGAATAGGCCATTCGGCCCCTTGAGCCTCCCCTGCTATTTAATAAGATCATGGCTGATCTTCTAACCTAATTCCATTTATCCGCCCTATCCCCATATCCCTTAATCCCTTTAGTTTTTAAAAATCTATCGATATCAGTCTTGAATATGTTCAAAGATTGAGCATCCAGAGCCTTCTGGAGTAGAGAATTCCACAAATTCACTACCCTCTGAGTGAAGAAATGTTTTCTCAACTCAGTTCTAAAAGGCTGACTTTTAATCCTCAGACTACGACCCCTAGTTTTAGATTCTCCAACTAGGAGAAACAGTTTTACAATATCAACCCTGTCAAGACCCTTAAGAATCTTACAGGTATTTATAAGATCACCTCTAATTCTTCTATAATCTAAGACCCACAGTGAGTTATCAGTTTTTTAACCTGAGCTGCTTCCTTCTCCGAGCTCCAGCCACCCTCTGCCCTATCACGACAACATATACCAAAGTGGTTGTCCTGTCTTCTCGCTACAGTTGAGGTGAGGTTCCTCAAAACCTACTCAATGAGAATCCTCACTGGTATTAGTGTTGCCAAACACTACGCTAACAAATTGACTAAAGAGTGTATCTGTCAGCCACGTCTGTTATCAGCATATTGGTGAACATGTAAGAAATAGAGAGCTAAATTTTCATCTTTTTAGTTTTGCTCAACTGCTTCTGAACAGGTTTAGTGTTTATATACAATGTTTGGACATTTTATTGTAAAAGTTATGCTAGATAGTATTAAATGTTCCTGTGTATCTAAAATCTGCCCTAAAATATTTGCTTGAATCATATTTATTCCCAGAGATCAAGAGCAAAGCAACCAAGATGACATTACTGCTGAAAACTCTGTCTGTCTAGCATCTTGAGACATCCTCCCGATGTACAAGGTGCTACACAAATGTAATTTTGTTGTTGTTGTTGTTGCTGAAAGACAGAATAGTTCTCTGAAAAGAACAGAATACATGTGCTCAGCGGTAGAGGTGCCCATGCATTTGACTCTAGAAGGATATGCCATACAGGCCAGCAATGGTGTTTCATTCTCATTGGGTTATACCGTGGCTTTCCAACCATTTGAAAAAGGAGACATTTTCATTAGAAATACAATTATTGAGTTTCTTGTTTCACACCAATCTATTAAAACTCTGCTCAGGCACAACCTTATTTCTGAGACCTCATGCTTCCATCCCATCAATGACCTTTCAATACACTTCCATCCCATCAATACACTTTCCTTTGCTGCATAAGTTATCACCATCCTATGTTACAACCGTTAAAGACCATTATCAAGACTATCAACAGATGAAGGAAGCTACATGATCCTTTGCAAGAACATTCAAGAGAATGAATTTTACTGGCACAGCTCAATAATATGGTTTATTTCTTACTCTCTATCCCAAAGGAAAATCCAACCTATGTTGAAAAGGTTGTTTATAATCCATATGATGAAAAATGGATAGGGCACTACTGAATGTATCCATGCCTGGGCTTTCCTGTGTGAATAAATATTAAAAAGAAACCCAACATTACCATTGAATGGTACTCTAAACTTTAGCACATAAAAAAATCATATTTTAAGAAGAGAAATTCCATTAAATCAACTGCCTAACAAAATAAAAGTGAAACAGGTACCTCCTGACCTCATCTTTCTTATTCTATCCAGTGAATCAATACTATCATTCCAATCTACTCATCATTATATTCTATGGGGTAACTTGCATGATTTGTAAAAGGATTTACAAATAATGAATCCTGCATGCACTCAAATGTGTTTCATTCCAATCTACCAGAACTCTGCTCAGACACAATCTTATTTTGGATTTCCATGACCTCATGGAGACCTTCTTTGATGCTTCCGTTCCATAAATCACCTGCTACATTCTCCTGTGATACAAAAATCTACATACTTTGTTGTGAAAGGATTTACACATGAAGTCAATAATCACAATTACACATAATCCACTCCATTAAGTACTTTATTTCACCATTTTTTTTAAACCCTTGCCTAAAAGAAACAGTCTCTACTCTTGACATCAATCAACTGTGAAATATTATAGACTTGTTAATAATATAGGTCCAATATTAATGCAAGGAATATTATTATTGTTATTATTGATTCTGTTATACCTTCTTGTTTTTTCACATTGTAAATTAAGAACGTGTCCCACAGTGTGTCAAGAAGTGGCCCACTGAACAGCCGCTTGTCGAGGTAAAATCAATAATTTACTTAGTCTGTGTTAAATCAATATTTTGTTTCCAGTAGCTACTGAGGAGCTATATTTATGGTGAGCCATAAATGAAGAAATATTCATTCAAGAAAAATTTATTTGGTTGGCTGATCAAAAAGGTTGGTCACCACTGGCCTATACAATGCCCCCAGAGTCTTAATATTGGGTCTTGAACCTATAACCTTCTGTTGGTTATGTCTGTTATTTGTGGAATTACCTTCTGCATAATCCAGTCAATGAATAGATTATCCATAATGCTTGCCATAGGTAAATGACTCCCCAGATACCGAATGTCCAGCCTGCTGGGGTGAAGTCAGTTCTGTATTTGTCAGATACATTTTTTAACAGACTGCACAAAGAGACCTGGAGAGTAAAAAAGTAATATTGTGTGATTGAAATTTCCAATACTGTTGGATAAATATTCATGGGATTGGACTAAGTTTCAACCAAACATCTTGCATGATGCATCAAAGTTGAAGATCAAATGTGGCCAAACCTTGCAATCAAACCATGTGACCAAAACTGTGTTCTAACTAATGATTTGTAGAAGTTAAGCATCACCTCTTTTGGCAAGGATGTCAGTTGAAATCAGTTGTAAAACCAGCTAAGTGGGTCCCAAATCCATTCTTATCCTTACCACAATTTGCAACTTTACATGCTTTTAAAATGTCTTCTTATGTTAATTTACAAGTACTTTTAAATATATTAAAGAAAAACTTCATATTAGATATCAACATGTGTCTGTCATCTACAAAAAGGTAATGTTGCATATTTTGTGTGTGCTGTACAAAGGGCCCCCGATTGTGATCTAGCTTAGTTCCCTTAACCTGGTCCAATGGTGGAGTAAAATAAGTAATTTCTAAAAACTACAGATTCAAACAAATTATTGAAGGAGCAATAACACAGAATTACTGAAACACTATAATCACTTATTCAGACACTTAAAGTTTTTTTGATCAAAACTCGTTACATTAAAACAAATAGTTTCCGAACTCCTCTATTTTAATCTCATAACCTTTGTGCACATTGAGATTTTGTACAAATATTGCAATGTTACAAAAAATGTTCTGCAATATTGGATCATTCAGATATCTCACTTGCAGCATTGCTTTACTTTTGGCCTTCACATGCTGTTTTAACAGGCTGTTGACATGTTTGAAATAGCGAGAACAGGTTTGAGGAGTGCAGTAATTCCCTTTTGCACTTTCTCAACTTTTCTATGCTGTCAGTTCTACTTACCCATTGAAGGCCCAGTTCCTGCCAGAGCATTGAAAGCTGACATGGTGATATAGACAACCACGGCAACTACCAGCAGGACAACCTTCCATGGGTTGCACTTGGCCATTCTGGAATCCTAAGCAAAGGTTTTATTTTTACTCTTCTAAGTGTGAACATATAAGCAATTTACAAAACAATACTGTGTTATTTAATCACTCTGTTTTATGCAATTATGTTTCGGCTCCACTGGCTCCCCATCCTTCAGAGGATTGTATTCAAGATCATCATCATGTTCAAACCCCTCTGTGGTCTCGCCCCACCCTACCTCTGCAACCTCCTTCAGCCTGGCCTCTCCCTTTGCTCAGTGAACCCTGGACTGCGAGAACTTCATGACTAATGCTATATACCTGTCCTACCATCAGCAGACAGGCTTTCAGCTTATCTGCCTCCATCCCTCTGACTTACTCCCTCCCCTTATTCTTTTTCTTCCCCCCCACCACCCCACTCTCCACCCTGCTTCGGTATCCAGCTAGCATTTTTGGAAGCGCTGTCATTCAGATGAGATATTAAACTGTGGTCCCGTCTGTATTTTCAGATGAACGATAAGGATCCCATAACACTATTTGAAAAGAGAAGGGAATTTCTCCCATTGTTCTTTCCAACAATCTCCGAAATACAATTGGACATCCATTTCATGGCTATTTGTGGGACATTATTGTGTGCAAATTCGTTGCACATTTGCCTACAAAATACAGTCACTACACTTTACAATAAATCCAGTGAAGCACTTTGACACATACTCCAGATATGAAAGGCACAAAATCAAATATAAGATTATTATTATTATTTAATTTGGGGCTTTACATTGGTATCAGAAGCTTCTGGTTCCAAGTCCTGCCTCCCTCAATTCCAGACAAAGCCATATCAAGAATGGAAATACCTTTTTTGGGGAGAGGGTGGGTAGTGGAGAATGGAATGAAAATCAGGTAACACAGCAAGGTCTGGAGATCTCTTGAAACTCTTGAATCCAGCAACAGGTGTGGGATTAGTAACAGAATGAACTCTGACATGTGAGCATCACTCAGCCAGCTACATAGGGAGTGAAAGGGGAACCGAAAAGGGAATAAAAATACTCCAATGAGGAGGAAACTCTGGAAAAAATTGCCAAACAGAAAGAAGCCCTAGATTCAAGAGGATTGCAGCATTAAGGAACGAATGAATGACGATCCAAACCAATTTTCTGATTGCCACTAAAATGAACTGAACAGGTAAATTGCAGAAACCCATTTATATCTTAACTTTCCTCATTGGAAAGAAAATGCGCAGAAGTTTGGCAACTCACCCCGAGTATCAACAGGTTTGCAGGCTGTAAGGCAATAAAGAGCAGCACTTCACTGGGACACTGAGAGTTACAGCTGTTTAGGGCAATCGATTGTCACTTTAATCAGCCGGGAAGTGGACCATGGGTGACATTGACCATGTTACACAACCGCTGATCTTACATAAAGAACTGAACATGTTTCATAACAGACAGGAGGATCCGCCTACCCAATGAGTTACACAAGCCGACACTGAGCGTGGTCCCGGATTCGCTTATTACACAACTTGCTTGATTCATCCTTTCCCACTACAGGATCTCATCATTTTACACAAACTCACAAAGTTAGCTTGTCACCACCCACACACAACTTACCACTGAGAACATCACCACAGCACTCACATTGTTCTCAGGAACACAATAAACTTCATTCATTATCAGAGCACATGTATACATTCATTCACACAAGAGCATTTCTACAACTCAAAATCATATTAATCCAATATTTAAATTGAGATCTGACACATGGTTTCAAGTTAGAAATTCTGAAGCACTGGATAGAAATTATTGGATGTGCGGAGATGGACTCTCCTGATGCCTTGAATCTCTGGAACTCCTTGCCTAATTCCCTCCATCCTGTCCCATTTTTGCCCGTCTTAAAATAAACCTGAAGACTTTGCTCTTCGACTGTGCCTTTGGTCACCACCTCTCCCTTTCCGGCTTGGCATCAAGCCATAATGCTATTGAATGCTTCAAGACGTTACCTGCATGAAGGGTGAAACTGGGTTATACTTTTGATTGCTGGTTAGCTTTGTACTAAATCTGAATAATTCATGTTCAGTACTTTAGGAATTTTGAAATAATAATAATAATCCTTAATAATCCTTGCATTTGATATAGCGCTTTTCACGTCGGGAGGACGTCCAAAGCGCTCACAGAATACACTGTAAAGTGAATTGACTGTATATTTGTGGGCGAACGCGGCAGCCAATTGCGCACAGCAATGTCCCACAAACAGTCGTATATTGAAAATGACCAATTTTTATTATTGTTTTTGGTTTTTGGAGGGATTATTATGAGGTGTGTGGAGTAAGGAAACTTGCCCAAGGTTTCGCCCTGACATGCCTGGAATTGAACTCAGGTCTCTCACTTGCAAAGTGAGTGCTCTAACCATTGAGCTACAGGACTCCACGGTGTAATTTACCCAGTGTAACAGTAAAAAATTTTGCATTTAATATACAAAGGTGTTACAGTGAGAAACAGTACAGTATAAAGTTAAAATGTCTAAAATCTCACCAATATTATTACGTTATTGACTGTGCATTTTGTAGGTAAAACAAGCACAGTATGGTTCAACAAGCAGACAAAATAATTTGTTTATCTGGGAGATTGTTTGATTAGGACCCCAAGAAAAACTCTTCTGTTTTCAAGAAGTGTCATAGGATCTTTAATAATCAGCTGAACAAGTAACCACAACCTTACTTTAAATGTCTCATCTGAAGGACAGCACCTTTGACAATGCAGCACTGCAGTGAGAGTCAGCCTAGACTTTAAACGTAAGGGCCTGGCACGGGACTTGAATCAAAACCTTCAAATCCAGTCACTGATAGAATTAAAGTCCAATTTGGGAAATTCCATGATTTAGACTCCAGTAGTACTCCTAATAGAAAACATCCCCACTGATCAAATTAGAATATCCTCACTTTATAGCGTCAAAGTCAGAAGATTGCATATTCAAGACCCACGTGGGGATTTTGAATGAATATACTCCAATGCCATACTGGAGGCATGTTGCATTTTTGGAGGTGCCATCTTTATGATGAAACTTTAAATCAAGGTCCCGTTTACCTGTTCAGTCAGACGGTAAAGATCCCATGACACTTTTCGAAAAGAGAAGGGAGCTTCTCCTGGTGCTCTTGCTAACAATTCACAGGTAGAATTGATCATTCACTTCATGGCTATTCGTAAAACATTGTTGTGTGCAAGTTATGTGTCATATTTGCCTACAAATTACACAACAACAACTTGTATTTATATAGCGCCCTTCACACCTGGTAGAGTCTTGGAGGTTCAGAGTTTACAGCAAAATCTTATGAAGTATTTTGAGATATCCTCCGGATGCGAAGGATGTTACATCAAATGCAAGGATTATTTTTATTATTATCTAACAGCATCAATAGTATATAAGATATTGTCACAATTATACTCAGTGCCCTACTATTTGTGGTTCTATGAGTAAACTTTATGGTACTACTACTGATCAGATTTTGCAAAACAAATAATTTTCTCATTTTTTATTGTGACAAATATACAAAGAGCACTGCTCATTTGTAATGTTGATGCTCATTCCTCTGCTTGCAGCATTTTTATTCCTGCAAGATAGATAAGGCACATTGGGCTGAAGTTGTGACAGGTTGCAGTAATTGTTGGACTGCTTTTCCTTTTCCAGGTTCAAAAACCAACCAAGGGAGTATGGACTGGAGTAATGAAACTAGTCCATCATCTTGTCAGATTGCATCTAACCCTGACGTAGATCCTGAATTGTCAGCTTAATCAAATTAAACCAACACCATCTCAGTAACCAACATTCATGTCGTTGTGTAGGTTAGAAAGCAACAGAAGTTGAGAGACTCTGAGAGATTAAACCTGTATTATAGTTGAGACTCTATATATGTTCCATCTGCTTGGCTCAGTGTTTGCACTACATTGGTGTCAGAAATGGGATAGTGCTGGTTCAATAGCCCTACCCCCACAGGCCCATGAGAAGGCAGATACTGTGGACTGACAGGCAGTGAGAACTTGCAGCCATATGAGAGATGGGCAAGAGCCATTGGTTGAGCGAAAGGAATTTTTCTAATACATATTTATATTATATGGAAATTAATTCTATAATGACTTAAATTTTAACCCATCAGATGAAAGAATGTAGGTTCTTATGACCATCTGACTATCCCTGTTGAAATATAGACTGAATCTTCTAATCGTCCCTATATATGTTAATGTTGAAGGGTTTATGGGGTGTAAGGGTTTATGTGGTGTAGAATCCTAGCCATCTCTTATGAGTCCTACTGACACAGAGGCTCACTGGTTTGTTATCAACAGTATCTTGAAGTACTGCAAACTAGCTGATAGATACAGTATGCACAACAGCTGCACCAGACAGAAAGCACTCACTGTGTGCTAAAGTGCTATTCAAATCCTCTTCTATGGTATTGTGTGCATTTGTGGTACAAGGGGGTCTAATTTGAGGTATGCTGTAACACGATTTCCAAAAAGGAATCTTATTAGAATTCCCATCTGGAAGTTGACAGAATTGGAGTGGTATTCCCCTGTTACTGTCTGAGTTGCTGGGCGTCCAATTTGCATGGCTTGGATTAAGTATTAAGAAAGCCATTCAAAAAAATTCAAAATTTATATCTTAAGATGTTAAACCATTTGACCTTCTTTACCATTAATGGTTCAGAAGAGCCCTAATTGATAAACTTGCGTGACTGTTGGGAAATACTTTGAAAAGGAGAGATGGGAATAATTTCAACATTGCCTATTATAAAAGCAAACAGTCAAGCCACAATTCGGTTAACAGTAAGTTTCTTTTACTCAATGAAGTGCCGTTGTGTTCTACTTGGAAATTCAGTGGGCAGCACAGTTTACTACACAAAGTATTCTGCATTTACACTTGTGAGCGATTTATTTTCACAATAAAAATATTGTTTGCCTTACAAAATTGCTGTTTAATGCACTGTAAAAGTACATTGAGTTGATGTACACAAAGCATCCTTTGTGCTAGATTTGTTGGTTGCTGTAATTTA